CCCAGCCCCCCCACCCCCAATCTAGAGCTGGTACCAGGGCCCCGGACCCCCCCAATCATGGGGGCCTAGTACTGCCCCACTTTCCTGAGTCCCTAGACTCAGTCCTGTCCCCCTGCCCCAAGCCTCTTGGATCCGGACCTGGTACCTGGGCCCCCAGATTCTCCATCCCCCAACTCCTCCAAGCATTTGGACCCAGTACCAGCCCTGTGGTGCCCAGCACCAGCCCTGAACCCAGGTGCCTGGGCGGCCCCCCCCAGAGCCTCGGGCACTGCCTGCATCACCCCTAGACCCCACATCTCCCCTGCATAGAGCTGGGGGGCACCTGTGCTTTGTTTCTCCAACCCTGTGGACCCCCACTGCTGCATGTGTGTGGGTGTGTACAGGTGTGCCAGGGGCTTTGCCCCATTGCCTGGCAGGAGCATGCAGCTGGTCCCTTCAGTGCCCCCCTCACACACACTTATGCACAGCCTTGCACACCAGCTTCCCAGGCTGGGATCGGGGGTGCTGGGTATTGTCCAGACCCCCCAAGCTGGGATTGGGGGGCACCCTGTGCTGTCCAGATCCTCCCAGGCTGGGTTTGGGAAGGGGGCTCTGACAACTGTCTGGGCCCACCCTCCCAGGCTGGGATCAGAAGGGCTTCTTGCTCCCTACCCCCTTTCCACCCCTGCGGCCATTTCCCTCCCTCCGGAGGTCCTGGCTCCTTCCTGGTCGTGGGGCTGGCGTGTTTCCATCCATTGTTGCTGAGAGCTGTTGTTCCTGCCCGCTCTGGCTGGAAGACCATCCCGCCACCCCGCCTCGTCCCTGGAGCCTGGATTGGACCCAGGAGTCCTGGCTCTGGCCTTCCCCTCCCCACATCTTCCACTCTAACCATTAAATCTATCTCTCCCTATTGGTTTGCTGCTGGTATAAATGGAGTGTGTGGGCACATGTATGCACACGTGTGTGCGCTTGTACGATGCACATGCAGGTGGACACTTGCATGCACACGCACATGTAGATGCACACATGCAAGTGCATCTGCATGTCTGTAGGCACTCATGCACACATGCATACCTGCACATATGCACACGCGTTTGTGCATACATGCACGTGCTTGCATTTAAGCAGCCGTTGGCAGACATTGGACTGTGTGTGTTCCGGGGGGGGAGGAGGGGGGAGAGCTGGGGCCGTGGGGCTCAGGGAAAAAGAGGAAAACCTTCTGGCCTGGCACATGTAACACTCACAGATCACATATGTGCTTAGTCTGTGCCCTGGCAGGGCTGCGGGAGCAGGTAGGACTGCATGGCCCCAGCATGGCTCTGTGGAAGTGCTGGGGTCCAGGGCTCCTCTGTCAACACCAACCCTTCCCCTGCCTTCCTGCCTCTGTTTTCCCCTGCCTCAGTTTCCCCAGCTGGACCCTACCACAGTTGGGTGAGCCCTGAGTCTCGAGCCTGAAATTGAGCCTGAACTCCTGGGTTCAGTGCCCATCCCTCCCTGTCCATTCACCACGCTTCCCCTTATACCCATGGTGAAACTGAGGGGCAGCATGGGCTTCCATGCAGGGATTGGCAGGGGGGCATCTGGAGACGGCTTCTGCCCCTTAGAGGCCTCTTCTCCCCATCCCCCCTCCTAATCCCCCCTCCCCCAGGGTCTCAGCTGCCACATCTTGTCCTGATGGCACCTGCCTCTCCTCCCCCCGGGCTGTACATGGCATATGAGACAGACAGCTTGAGGTGGGAAGGGTGGAAGGGGAGTGAGGGAGGGACTTGGTGGGGGCAGTGGGGCCATTAATCCCCTCCCCCCACATCCCAGACATCTGCTTCCCTTTGAGCTCCTGCCTCCCCCAGCCTGTCCAGGCCTCCAGCCCATTGCCATTTGCCTTCCCATTGCCTTCCCATTGCCTTTGATGGTGGGGAGAGAGCAAGTCTCCCTGTTTTACTAGGAGGGGTAAACTGAGGCAGGGGGAATCTCCTCAAGTGTCTGGCAGATGCCCCTGGTGCCCCCAGTCTGGTTCCTGGGGGGTGGGTCAGGGGTGGAATTCTATGGGCAGCCTTGATTGCCTTGGCATGGGGGGGCAAGTCCTGAGGTTGGGGAGTGTGGAGTGGGGACTCAGAGGGTGGGGGGTCATGGCCTGCTGGACCTGCCCCCCCAGTCACCCAGGGAATGCCCCCCAGATCCAGGGAATGTTCCCTCCATGTGCCCCAGATCGCACCTGCCTCCAGCAAAGCTGCCCCCACTTTTCCTTGGCTGGGGCGGGGTGTGGCAAAGGGTTGTTGCTCCTCTGATGAGCTAGGTAGGGTTGGGCTGGTATCCAGCAGGGATGGGAGATCCCAGAGAGGACACAGCTGTAGAGGGAAGCCTGGGGGCAGGGTGAATCTCTGCACTTCCCAGTATTGCCAGTAGCCTGCTGGCTGTGCTCCCACCAGATCCAAGGGCTCCCAGGCCAGATATTTCCCAGGAAGATGGAAAGTTGTGGGGAGGGGGCATGAGCTCACCCTTGCCTTGCCCCAGGGCAGCACAGAGGGCTGCGGGTGGTGGGGGGCACAGCAACTGGTTGCTCTCCCGAGAGCTGGGCTGACAGCAAGGAGGGGTCTGGGGTCAGCACCTCTGGTTCTGGCTGCCTCCCCAGTCCCCTGAGACCAGGGTTGGGAGTTAGGGTAGACCCAGCCTCCCAGCCCTCCCCTGCTCTCAGCCTCCAGCTCCCACTCCTCCCACCATGGGGAGGGAACCCCAGGTGCTCCCTGCTGCCAACCCCCAGTCCCTTCCCAGAGCTGGGAGAGAACCCTGGCCTCTGAGCTCCCAGCTGGCTGTAGGAGGTGGTGCCTCCTGGTGCCTGGAGCCTGTGCTGGGGGAGTGGGGGCGGGGCAGGGCTAGATGGGCTCCTTCCTGACTTTTCCAGGGACCCAAGAGGCCAGGCAGCTAGCGAGGCCTATTGGCTGCAGCAGCTAGCGAGGTCTCAGAACACCTACCTGGGTGCTCTTGCCAGTCCATGTGATTGAAGCTGTGCCAGGTGCTGCACGGGGAGCTGGACCCAACTGGCAAAGCACCCTGTCCCCAGGCCTGCAAGAGAACCCAGGAGTCTGGGCTCACAGGCTAGGGACTGTATTCACAGCCAATGTCTCTGGGTGCCGTGGAGAAGAGGGGATCTGCCAAGCCCTGGGATGCATGGGTTCTTTCCCTGCCCTGTCCTGGGGGTAGGATCTGGAACCCAGGATGCTTGGGTTTTCTCCCTGCTCTCTTGGGGGGTGAAAGCTGGAAGCCAGGACTCCTGGGTTCTCTCCCTGCCCTGTTGTGGCAGCAGAGGTGGGGGGCACGTTGGTGAGAGTGGAAGCCAGGACTCCTGGGACCTCTCCTCAGCTGTCCCATTGGGCAAATCTGTCTTGTGCCTCAGTTTCCCTGGCTGTCATTGCCCTTCCTTGTGCACAGCCCTGGGGTTATCAGAGGGAAGGGGGGACATTTGCCCATGTCTGCAGGGCCTTGGGACTGTCCCCTCTTCCCCAAATCCCAGGTTCTCTCCCTCGCCCCCTCCCCCAAGTCCCAGAGTTTCCCACCCCCACTAATGTCAGACTCTGCTCAGCAGGATGGTGGCCTCCGAGGTACGGAAGCAGATGTCGCGGGAGCATGGGAGCTCCCCCCAGCTCTCAGAGCGTCGCAGTGGCTCCCACCAGACCGTGAGTGACCCCTCCTCCCCTTCCCCTTGCAGAGAGAACCCAGGAGTCTCCCCCTCCCTCCCTGATCTGGCCCTGGAGGGGGTGGGAACCTGGCTAGGCTCCCACGGCCTCAGCTTCCCCTTCCTGTGGGTTGTGGTTCCCGCCCTTGCCTCAACCACAGCTGCTGGGATTTCCTGCAGCCCAGGGGGAGGGATGCGGCTGGGGGGGGCGTAGAACCCAGGCATCTGGGCTCTCAGCCCTGCCCCCCACCACAGCCAAGGTGGAACCCAGGCATCTAGGCCCCCAGCCCACCCCTCTAATCACTAGACCCCACTGCCCTCCGCCCACCCCAGCCAGGATGAAACCCAGGTGTCCTGGCTCCCAACTCCCCTCTCTGCTTGAATCAGCAGACTCCACTCCAGGGAAGGAACCCAAGTGTCCGGGCTCCCGTTCCCCATGCCCCCCCAACTCTGATCATTAGGCCCTGCTCCCCTCCCAGAGTCAGGGAGGAACCCAGGCCTCCAGGCTTCTAGTCCCTTGCTGTAGCCACCACTCCCTTCTCTTTCAAAGCCACAATGAAACCCAGGTGTCCTGGCTCACTAGCCCCTGCCTCGCTCTCACCACTAGACCCCACTGCCCTCCATAGCTGGGGCTGGATGGAAGAGTCTGCCCTCCCCACCCCACAATAGATGGACTCCAGGAGCTCTAGCTCCCAGCTCCCTTCTGCCCCACACAAGACAGAAATCAAGAGTCCGGGTGCCCCCTTGACTCCCTCCTGCATCTAACCTGGGCTCAGACTCTGGCCAGGCCCTGTGAGTGCCCTGATGCGGGGTTTGGGTGGGGGTGGGTGCTATGAACTTCCTAAGGACAGTGCCTTGTTGCCCCCCGCCCCAGGTGCCGCTGGCAGAGGTGGTGGAGCCACTGGATGTGGAGGAGTTCCTGGCCGCCCACCCCCCTGAAGCTGAGTCAGGGCACCTGCGCGACCTGGCTGACTTTCCACCTGATGACCTCGAGGTCATACAGGAGCCACGGGAGCTCCGCACATTGGAGCCAGGGGTCCCTGAGGAGGGGTAAGTGCTGCAGAGAGGAAGTGTGTGCGTGTGTGGGGGGGGGGCAGTGCTACATACCCCCCTCTTAGTGAGTAAACTGGGGCGTGGTGGTGCAGCTGGACCCTGAGGTGCAGAGCGGGGCTGTGTTAGAGCTCATGAATGCCTGGCTTTCCATACTACCAGGGCAGGGCTGGGGAGAGGACCCACATGTCCAGGCTCCAGCCCTGGGCACCTTCCAGCCTCAAGAGACTTGTAGGAGGTCAGGGGTCACCTGCCTCCCCCCCACCCGAGGACCAAGGCTTCTGGGCTCTGGGGGGTAAGGGGTCACCTGCCCCCTGTCCCAAGAGGATCCAAGCTCTGAGAATTCAGAAGTGAAGGAGACACCTGCCCCCGCCATGGAGCACCCAGGTGTCTGGGCTCTAGCCTGGGCACCTTTCAGCCTTAAGGGGCTTCTGAGAGGCCAAAGGTTAAGGGGCCACCTGCCCCAGCCAATGAGAACCCAGACATCCAGGAATGGGACCCAGGTATTCAGGCTCAAGCCCCAGGCACCATCCAGTGTCAAGGGACCTTTGAGAAGTCAAAGGTCAAGGGTCACCTGCTCCCACTGAGGAGAACCCAGGTGTCCAGGCTCCATCCCTGGGTATTGTTCAGCCTCAAGGAGCCTCTAGGAGGTCATAGGTTAGGGATCAGGTGTTACCTAACCCCCACGTCTTCTCCCCAAGGATGCTGGACATGCGAACACAGGATGCAGTGAAGACCTACACTGAGGACTGGCTGGTTGTACGCCGGAGGTCAGTGCCTGGTGGGAGTGGGGAAGGGGATTGTGTCCCTCTCATGGTGGGGGGCAGATCTGGCTCTTGGGGCCTCTTGGTCCCTGACCACCCTCCCGGGTGCTGGGAGGTAGGATGAAGAGGAGCCAGGACTCCTGGGTTCAGCCACACCTCTGGAGGCCATTGAGGTATAGTGGTGAGAGTGGGGGTTGACCAATGAGCTGGGGTGGAGTGGGGCATAGGTGGGAGAGCTGGGCTGAGCAACAGGGAATGAGAGGTGGGGTGTCTATCCCCTCATCCATTCACCACCACCCCCCCACAAAACTGAGGAACAGTGTGAGCAGTTCTGAGTCTGCTCTGTAGATGGATGGAGCTCCCCCCCCACCCCCAGCCTCCTGTCCCATAAAGGTGGGGGAGGGGTTGGTTCTGTATGGGGAGGGATTGATGATGTCAGACAGGTGACAGTTCCTCAGTTTCCCCAGACGCTTCCCTGCCTTATGGAGAAGTCTCTATGTGCCTGTGAGGGGCTGAGCCCATCCTTTCCACCTGCCCTGTGCCACCCCCCAACTCGATGACCTAGCTCCTTCTGGCCCCCACCCCTTCCTCCCAGGTACCAGGGCTTGAGCACGGCTTACACTCCCATCACCCCGCAGCGGCAGCGAGAGCGGCAGCAGGGCCTGCCCCGGCAGGTCTTTGAGACAGATGAGCCAGAGGTGGAGGATGTGGTGAGTCCCCCAGGGGGTGAGAGGGGCAGTGGGGTCTAATGGTGAGAACAGGGGGTGTGGCAGTGGGCCAGGGCATCTGGGTTCCAATCTTGGCTCTGGAAGGGGACTAGGTTATAGTGGCTAGAGTGAGGAGCTGGAAGGATGGATACCTGGGTTCCACTAGGCTGTGGAAGGGTGGGAGCAGGGGGGTCTGGTGTTTCAAGTTGGGTGGGGTGGGTAGGAGCCTGAATGCCCTGGTCCCTCCCTGGCTAGGGGAGGGGAGGTTTTACCTGAGGTATCATCACCTAAAGCTCTGGGAAAAACTTCACAGGGTGTCCAGACTGTGGAATAAACTCTCCAGAGGTGGTTCAATCACCTACCCTGGAAGTCTTCAAGAGGAGACTGGTCAGTCACCTCGCTAGAGTTACCTGTCCCCAGTTGTCTTTCCTGCCTAGTGCAGGGGGGCTGGACCCAATGATCTTGTGAGGTCCCTTCTAGCCCTTTACAATCTATGAATCTGAAAACAGTGCGGTCTAGGGGTTAGAGCAGGGAGGGCCTGAGAGCCCAGGCACTGGGTTCCAACTCCAGCCCTGGGCAGGGAGGGCAGGGGGATGGGGAATCAGGGCTGGAGATGGTGGGGCAGGGTGCTGTTGGGGGCAGACAGAGGGGCTAGGGAGCTGCAGGGGTAGAGGGGTGACTGGGGGGCAGGTCCAGCAGGCCATGACCCCACTTCTTATCCCATCCCCTACCAGGAGGAGCGGCGGCGCAGCTCAGGCTCGTTGGATGAGACGCCACGTGGCAGCTGGGCGTCTAGTATCTTCGACCTGAGGAACTCAGTGCCTGATGCACCGCTGCCCGGCCTGCTGGAGCGCACAGCCCCCGAGGAGGCTGACCTGCGCAATGCTGCCCTGCGCAGGGAGGGCCGCCACCCTGAGATCTTGGCTCTCTTTCCTGCCCCTGATGAGGTGTGCCTGCCCCAGCCCTCTCTTGGATGTATTAGGGTAGTGCCTGTCATTTGCCTGAGGGAGCCAGTCCTTCTATTGGGTGCGTTACAGTAGCCCCATCTGCTGCTGCTCTGCTATTGGGTGCATTATGCTAGCCCCTACCTGCCCCATGGGAGCCAGCAGCTGATGCTCCTCTATTTGGTACAGTGTGATAATCCCCTACATATCCCTGTTCCATGGGAGCCAGCAGCCACTGCCCTGCTCCCCTCCCAGAGCACACCCTTCTACTGGGTGTGTTTATAGTAATCTCCTACTTATTCCTGCCCTTCTATTGGGACCATTATGGTTCCTAGATTCCCATGGGACTGGGGGACCAGCCGCTACTGCTACCCTTCTCTTAGAGGTATTTCCATATTTCATAGACATAGATTTCATAGACATTAGGGCTGGAAGGGACTTCGGAAGATCATTGAGTCCAGCCCCCTGCCCAAAGGGCAGGAAGTCAGCTGGGGTCATAGGATCCCAGCAAGATAAGCATCCAGTTTGCTCTTGAAGGTGTTCAATGTAGGCGCTTGAACCACTTCTGCTGGCAGGCTGTTCCAGACCTTGGGGGCTCGGACAGTAAAGAAATTCTTCCTTATGTCCAGCCTGAAACGGTCTTGTAGTAGTTTATGACCATTCGACCTAGTTGTCATCCCTTGGGGCGCTTTGGTGAACAAACGTTCCCCCAGATACTGGTGGTCATCCCTGATAAACTTATAGGTGGCCATCAGATCACCCCTGAGCCTGCGCTTTTCCAGTAGGTTATAGTGGCTAGAGTGAGGAGCTGGAAGGATGGATACCTGGGCTCCACTAGGCTGTGGGAGGGCGGGAGCAAGGGGGTCTGGTGTTGGGGGGGTGGGGGGTGGAAGCCAACAGCACTGCCCTTTTATTGGGTATGATGTGGTAGCCTCTGCCTGCCCTATGCCCCATGGGAGCCAGCTTCTGCTGCCCCTCTATTCAGTGTTTTATGGTAGCCCTTACCCCAACCCCTGCTGCCGCCCTTCTTTTAGGTGTATGGCACCTTTCTATTAGGTGTATTATGGTAGCACCTCTCCTAGTCCCATTGCTTGGTGTCCCCACCAGATTACAGGCAACATTGGACCCCCGCCTCACAAACTAAGGGACAGAGGGATATGGGAGGGGTGAAGCCAGGGGTGGAACCCATGTGTCCTGATTTCCCCCCCACACACCTCCCCACCCTAGGATGAGGCAGTGGAGCGCCGCAGCCCCCCAGAAATGCCCCGGGAGCACTTCGGGCAGCGCATCCTGGTCAAGTGTCTGTCCCTTAAGTGAGTCCAGCCCTGGACCCTGTGGGGGAAGGGTGTGGGGTGGTTCCTTCCCCAGGGTATGGAGCCAAGGGCACCCCCACACCCCTTCCCCTCCCAGTGCCAGCCAGGGGACTCGGGAGTCCTGGATCCAAGCCCCTCCTGAAACCCAGAGACTCAAACCCCCTGGAGTTGTGGATTGGACCCAGGTGTCTGGGCGCTCAGTCCATGAAGACCAAAGGGGCTGGGGATGGGGGACTTGGGGCAGGGGCAGGAGGAGGGGATTCTTTCAGCCCCATGGCCTGTCTGTCTGTCCATCCAGATTTGAGATTGAATTCGAGCCCATCTTCGGGTCTCTTGCCCTTTATGACATCAAGGAGAAGAAGAAGGTACCAGGGCTCTACAGACTGGGCTTGGGGTGGGGCCTCAGGGCTGGAGGTGTGTCCTAGGCTGTATGGACTAGACCAGAGGTGGGGGTTTTAGGTTGGGATGTGTCCTGGGGCATATGGACCAAACTACAGGGTGGGGTCTCTGGCCAGGGGACATGTATGGGGTTATATGGACCAGGCCGGAGGGCAGGGCCTCTGGGCTGGGGGCATGTATATAGATTTAGCATAAGGGATATGTCCTGGGCTATATGGACCAGGTCAGGAGGCAGGGTCTCAGGGCTGGTGGCACGTGTGGGGCTATACAGACCTCAGGGTTGGGGGTATATATGGGGCTGTACAGACCAGGCCAAGGGCAGGTGTGGGCCTGGGCTGCATTGACTGAGTCACACAATCTCTAGATTTCAGAGAACTTCTACTTTGACCTGAACTCAGAAGCGGTGAAGGGGCTACTGCAGGGCCACAGTGCCCCCCCAGCTATCTCTAGCCTGGCCCGTGCTGCCATCTTCTCCATCAGCCACCCCTCCCCTGATATCTTCCTTGTCATCAGGGTCAGTGAGGCAGGAGGCACTCGCTTCCCTCCCAGAGCAAGGAGAGAGCCCAGGTGTCTGGGCTCCTCTCTCCCCTGCTCTAACCCACCTCACCCCACTGACCCAGGTGTCCGGGCTTCCAGCCCCCACTGCTCTAACCTCCCCAGTCCCCACTCCCCTGCCAGGGCTGGGGGAGAACCCAGATGTCTGGGCTGCCCCCCATGTTCTAACCTGTCATCTCCCAGCTGGAGAAGGTGCTGCAACAGGGGGACATCGGGGAGTGCTGCGAGCCCTACATGGTGCTGCGGGAGGCAGATGGTGCCAAGGTAGGTATTAGTCCAGTTCTGCCCCCCTGCCCTCCCCCAGCACCCTTCCCCCTCAGGACAGGAAGAGAACCCAAGCATCTGGGCTCCCAGCCTCCCCTGCTCTAATCCACCAGAACCCCACTCCCCTCCTAGAGCTGGGAGAGAGCCCAGGCGCTCAGGTTTCCAGGCGTTGCCTGTCCAAACATCCTAGTACCCTGTTCTCTTCCATGGGTGGGACAAAACCCAGGCATCTGTGTTCCCAGCACCACCCCCTGCTCTAACCCCCTAGTCCCCATTCTCCCCCCAGGGCAAGGATAGAACCCAGGCATCCGGGCCCCCATCCTGCTTTAAAACCCCAGCCCCTGCACTCCAGAACTAGG